AAGTCAAATATCTCAATTATTGCTTGAGATATTCAATTGAAACTTACAATACTTATTTATAGTAACAAGGTACATCAGATTGACAAGTTGGATAACTCTGCCTACAATATTGACAGAATTATGCCCCTTTGGAACTTGGAAATTTTGGTTAAAGTTTTTTTGTAAAGTCAAATATCTCAATTATTGCTTGAGATATTCAATTGAAATTTAAAATACTTTTTTATAGTAACAATGTACATCAGTTTGCAAAATTGCATAACTCTGACTGCAATATTTGCAGAATTATTTGCCCCTTTGAAACTTAGAAATTTTGGTTAAAGGTTAAAGGTCTTCAAAGATATTTACTTGAAACTTTACACATGCACTTAGGGTCATAATTGGAGGGTCATAATTGTATGTCACTGACCAAGTTCCATAACTCTATCTTGCATTAAGGCTGATTCATATCCCCTTTTCTACTTAGTCTCTTGGTTAATGTTTACATGCAAGTTTTACATATCTCAATAACTATTAAAGATATTTATTTAAAACTTCACATATGCATTTAGGGTCATAATTGTAGGCCACTGACAAAGATCCATAATTCTATCTTGCATTTAGGCTGATTTTTCTCCCTTTTTCAACTTAGAAATTCATGGTAAAGTTTTGCTTGTAAGCTGTTATCTCAATAACTACTGAAGGGTTTGTGCCTTTTTTGGGACAATTTTATGCATTCATAATAATAAAGCAGTGATTTACTTGATAAAACATCTTAATAACAAGCGTTTGTACCTTTTCTGTCAAATTTATGTATTCATAGGTAATTAGTATTATTATACTCAATAAAACACCCTTGTGACATTACCTTCCGAATAGTCAAGCCAATACTGTATAATTAGACTCTCTCTAAGGCCTATAACATGAATTTATAAAAAAAAATTAGCCCTTTTGTGAACTTAAAAAATTTAAAATTATCAAGGCTCTTTTACTATCAAGCACTTAGAATAGTCGAGCGTGCTGTCCTACCGACAGCTCTTGTTTGTGTATACTATCTGTGTACTTTTATATTAACTACATCTGTAGTGTGTATGCGCTAAACCATATACGTTTGCATAATGTCACCAAGAAACCATTGAAAAATATGCGTTCTAGAGAAAAACTTACGATTGTCCAACGTCCGTATGTCAGAGTACTTACGAAAACAAGTCATCTTGATAAAACAAAAGGAAACACCACACTACTTAAAAGTTATCCTAAAAGTAGATATATTAAAACAATTTCAAATTAATTCAATTCTTGCTATAATAAAAAAAACAAAAACACAAAAAGTGTGACTTCATAACGCAGTGTTGGTTAGGAATCAAACCAGAGACCTTCAGATCAGTAGCCCGGAATCTATACAAATATACCTCACCTTACTGACATGTGAAGATAACAAATAATTATCAATATATTCGTTTGATACAAGTGTTTATTCAATGACCTTTATGAAAGTTAATGAAGATCAAGGACAATATTGTTGGACAATATTACCAACCAAAATATGCCCAGAAGTAAAAGAAAATTTTTTTGGGGATATAGAATGTACAACTTCTGCAAGTTTAATGAGAACTGGTCAGTGGGCTGATGTAATTTAAAGGTATTCTAAGATTTTATGAACTTCCTAGAATGACAAAGTACATGTAATTGATATTATAACTGAAATTGAAAGGTATAACAAGTAGAAATTGATTTATCAGCACCCATCAATTTTAAGCTGTGGTCTCACTTACTCCCGGCAGAGCCCAGGACCAACCCGGTAAGTTACCAGGATGATCCGGGACAATCCGGGGTGAAATTATTGTTGCAGTCACACTAACCCCGGCAGCACTATGGTATTCCCAACTAACCAACCAGGATGCGCTCCGGACCATCCAGGCAGAGCCCAGGTGAAGCTACGGTTAATACAGGTGCTTCCCCGGTCGATCCAGGCAGACCCCTGGTAGATTGAAAAATTAAACGCACGAAAAGAATAACATTGATACATAATTTTTATTTAATATAATATCTATTGTTCCAGAACAGTAATTCATGATGATTTTCTGAAAAATCCTTATGCCATACTGGATAGAAGGGAAATTGGAAGGGTTTTAAAACAAACAAGTGCAATCATCGCAAATTGTTGTGATTCTTTTGAAATGAACTAGGCTTTGCCGGGGCTCTACCTGGATCAACCGTAGCTCCATCGTCATCCATCCAGGGTCGAATGCCAGATGTTCCCAGATCATCCCAAATGTTGTCGGCAGTGTAACGGATGTACCCCGGTTGTTCCCGGTAGAGCCCCGAATCACCCCGGACGTCTACCAGGGCTCTGCAGGGATGTCAGTGAGACTGTAGCTTTAAGTCAAGACACATTATGAGGACCTTGTATTCACAGTTGTTATGGTGTCTCTGTCATATTTCCAAACAAATATTTTTCAAATGTTACAGCTTAAACTCTTAACCTGCAAATGGTGTCACACATTCTATCATGCAACCAGTAAAGATCAGAGCCAGCATAATTATCCTTTAAAACATTTTGAAATCTAAAAGATTTTGAATTATTTCGCTAAAATTGAAGTCGGTAATTTTATAATATCAATTGGGGTATTAAGGATTAAATGCCCAGCAGCTGAAAGGGTGGCTATCCTTACTTTTTATTTTGAAATGCATGTACATGTGCCTAAGATAGCATTTATACCATTCTATAGAATAGCATATAAATTTATAATTACCATAAAAAATAATTTTAGCTTATCCCTTAATATATTTTTAAATAAAGTGGTATAGGCTATATTATTCTCTATTGAGGACATTCATTCTCTTCAAACTTTTATTGATTATTCTTACTTTCATTATTTTTTATCATTCTAAACATGACTTGCACATATTATAATCTTATTTTATAATGGCTACATGTATTTTATGTGATTTAGAAGTAATGTTTTATTTTATCCAATTATTACATCCTATAAAAAAGATGTGAGTTTGAGATACTTCCGTTTTGCACAAAGAAAATAATTAAATTTGCTCAAAATTTGTGCGGAAAACAGTTGTAACTTGAGATACTACCCTTTTGCACAAAAAAATATGTAACAAATTATCAAAATTTTATTTGCAAAACGGTTGTAACTTGAACTTATTCAAATATCTTTTTTCAAAAATAATTTGCTTCTTTTTTCTTATTTTGTTTCTAATTCTTTAACTAAAATGTATATATTTTCCTAAAATAAAACATTTTTATTCATTAACAAAAGTTTTAAAAAGTTTTTTCATGCTCCTGTAAAATTTGCTTAAATTGAGTTACAACCGTTTTGCGCTAAGCCCGCGATATTAAGATTTTTTAAAATTAACAACTTACTTTTGCATGCAACATTAAACTATAAAAATACTGAAGAAATTCACTTTGAACTTGTCAACTTCCAAGGCCCATCAGACTTTAATTTTTAATAAACCCCTTTGTTGGGGACAATTTTGTGATCGAATTGGTCAGTTTGTACGTACTACGGCCTGTTAACTTGTTTATACGATAACATGAGAAGGAATAAGTCCTGGTTTATTTTATTTGGAAGAGACATTGCCCATGGACAGTAGATAGCCTATAAGGTAAAATCCATGTCTGATGAATAAGTTAGAAGGGATAAGCCATGGTTTATATAACCCATAAAGATCATTGCACCTGATCAGTAGATGACATCTAATAATTTCGAGGTCGTTGGGTCAAAAATCAGGGTCACAAAATGTAAAATTATTGGCCAGTCAATAAGTTGTATAAATGGCACTTTTACAGGCTGGTGAAGTAGGGTCATCCTTTTACTATATCACATGTCTAGTTAATTAGGGAAATTCATATAAATTGTGTAATCTGATTGGTTTTTATCTCGTGGCCACGACTTAGTTACTCTTGGCCACGACATAGTATATCGTGGCCACGACTTACCTATCTCGTGGCTACGACTTAGTAGCTCGTGGCCACGAAATAGTATCTCGTGGCCACGACTTAGCTATATCTTGGCCTAGATTTAGTAGCTTGTGGCCACGAAATAGTATCTCGTGGCCACGACTTAGCTATCTCGTGACCTAGACTTAGTAACTCGAGGCCACGACTTAGCTATTTCGTGGCCTAGACTTAGTAACTTCTGGCCACGACATAGTATCTCGTGGCCACGACTTAGCTATCTCGTGGCCACGGCTTAGTAGCTCATGGCCACGACAAAGTATCTCGTGGCCACGACTTAGCTATCTCGTGGCCACGACTTAATACCTCGTGGCCGCGACATAGTTTCTCGCGCGAACGAGAAAAGTAAAAACACACACATGTCATATTTGTGCCACCGTAAATAGAACATAAGTCTCGAGAAATAATTTCCAGTCTTGTCATGTCAAAAAACCTCAGTGGAGTCTCTTTAATAATTTGTACATGTTAAAGCTACATGCCTCCATATGAGTCAAAATGTTTCAATAAAATCAAACTTTGGAAAATTTACTAAGATGTTAGGAAAAGTAAAAAGTTTCAAGATTCCAGCAATATTTTACATATATTGTGCGATTAATAACTGATTTTTCAGTATATACATCTCTATTTCTACTGCGTTACTAACGCAGTTAAGGTTTTTTATGCATATTTTGACCACTTTTTGGTGATTAACGTGGTTTGTAAGTGTTATTGATAATGCGTAACTTGCTTTCTTTTGTTTACTTCACAATATTACACATTCAAATACATTTTCAAAATTTTCATTAAAATTAATGAATCTGGAGGGTTGCTACTTTTAGCAATAAATTTATAAATAGAATGCAGATAATGCGTGTTCAAACTTTATGTAGGTGGTTTTTATTTAGCTAATCATTTTACATTTTGATAACAAAAGTGGTCTATTTGTCATGTTATTCATTAAAATGGATCCTTGTATCACAATAGTAAAATTTTAATTCTCTAACAAATGAACAGTGTATTTCAATTCTTTTCAGGTGTTGAATTGTATGGTTTATTCGGTGAAAAAATGGCAGAAGAAAATTTTGAACAAGGAATTTTATCGATTATGATATTTATCACACTAAATACAATAGGATTCGACCGTGAGTGGATATTGCACAAATCTAAAGTTGTTACAAAATATTTCAAACATTCCTTAAGAATAATCGAGCATTTAAATCCTCAAATCGACTGCGAATGTGTTGGAAGCGCGGCAGAAGGTGTTTCATTATCAGACAGTGACTGTGATTGTATGATTATCATGAAAGACACCTTTTGTGTAGATACAGCTTATATATGTAAAGGTTTCAATGTTCTTGAAACTGATTATACTAATGCTGCCCCTGGATACGTAAAACTTGTTTTCTTGCATGGCGATGAAGACAGTCCAATATGTGTGTACCTACAGCAGTCAGAACTTTATAAGACACGTCTAGGAAGTTCGTATATATCAAGCCCAATATTTATGAATTTCTTAATACAAAACTTACAGACACTAATTAAAATTATTTTCCCACCTTTTATTTCTAAATTGACTTCAAATGGCCCAGCAATTACATCTGGTAGTAATGATAATGCATTAGCCATTTATTTTTACGGGGGCTGCCATTTAAACAACTTGTCAAAAAGACTAAGATATTATCATTGGCCTTCAGTCAGCTTGATACAAGAAATTACAAGTATGGAAGGATACGTTGTTCCTGTTGGTCATAAATTCAGTGATAGTCAGAATATTGAATGGCGCGTTTGCTACACGACCGCAGAATTGAAATTAATAAAATCTCTGACTGATGTCCAGTTGAAATTCTATGTACTTCTTAAATGTGTTGCGAAGGAAATTGTAAAAAAAAATTGTAAAGACATAACTTCATACATTGTGAAAAATGTTGTATTCTGGATTGTAGAAACTGAACCGGAACAAGCGTTTACCCCAACTCATTTGGTCAAACTGTTGAAGAAGGCGATAATGTTTATCAAATACTGTTTACAAAACAATCATCTTCCAAACTATATGATCCCAGAACGTAACCTGATACGTGAGAATATGAATGGAAAGGAAAAACGCAAAATAATAAAAGATTTAAAAGAATACGAAGATTTTGCAATACTATTAGGCAAGGTCCCAAAATTGTGTCAGTGCATGAGCTTTGTATACCAAATATTTGAACTTCCTCAAATAAACCTTTATAAGGAATGGAGAAAACAAGTAGGACGTTGCCTACAGGCAATGGCTTTATGTAAAGTTGAAAAGGTACAGTTAAATATGCTATCCAAGAGAACAGTTCATATGGACATGACCTGGGAATTTTTCAAAGATATAAGGTTTTGGCCGATAATGACCACACTTTTGGATTTGACAGTTCCAGACTGGATGGATCTGGCTATGTGGTGGAGCATTGAACACATGTTACAATTGTTTTTGTCTAGAATAAACGCATGCCCGTGTCTGTAGAGAAAATTATAGTGTAGTAATACATTGAAAACAATTGTTGCGTTACTCATTAAAGAGATTTAGTTCGTTTTTTAGGTTAAATTAATAATAATATAAAAAACTGATTTATTGGTTAAGAAAGAAGCTTGTAGTTCATTGCTGTGATCCATGACATTTTCCATCCCTTCCTTTTGTCAAAGGACTATATGGCATATCGTTTAAAGTCTTCATATATGTTTCGAACTCAATTTTCCGGCTCCTTCTGTCAGTCCTCGGAAAAGAACATCGAACATATTAGTAAGAATGCACATAACGTATACGGTATTTTAATCTAACCTACGTTAAGAAACCTAACCCTAACCCAATAGAAATGTAATGCTAGCAGTTGTTGACAAGTCTTTTTCTCGAATATATCAAGTAAAATCCACCTTATAGATATAAAAGTAAACACTACATTCTATATACTAATTGTTATAGTTAAGAAACCGGAAATACAAAATGTCAGCCTGTTAAAATTAAAAATCGACATTAAATCAGATTTGTAATTCTTTATATCAGTAGGCATAACTGAATTAAAAATGTTTGATAGGCATAGTTTCAATCATAATTGTACTGAAACAGACTTTATTTACCTTTGGATATCAAATAAATACATTTGTTTTACATTATCGAAGATAACAGTTTCTGTGAGACCAGTTGGTAGAACTACTCCCAATTCTATTTAAATCCTAGGTTATAAAGAATAATAACAGAGGACGTTCCGATTGAACGTCTTTATAAACATGCCGACATTTTATCGTGTCCAGTGAATAAATATTTAATACGTTTAAAATGTCAACGTTGGCCAACAAGTCACGGGGACGTTTACAGAACGAGGCCCTGATACAACCAAGCCACACCATCGGGGCACCTAAAAGGCACGGAACCACAAACGGGAGAGTAATAACTGAAATGATGAGAACTAAAAGTGCCGGGACAAGTTTTGGCTTTAAGGAGAGAAGGAGGCACAAAATGGGAATGAGGAGGAATGGAAAGGAAATACTTACCGATAACGACAATGTGACAATATAGGACAACAAAAAACGTGTAAATATACAAACATGTAACAATACACAACTCGTATATGGAAAACATTCAAAGAAACCAAATTGGTGTTACGCCTTGGAATAACATTACTTTGTAATTTAAACCTAGTTAAAGCGTGCCAAACCCAATATTTTCCTATGTAATTAAATGAAACCACATAAAATGAAATTACAACAGTTATCATAATTACACTAGTTCCATCGTGACATTGGCGTGTATTTGCTTTTTCAGTATCGATGTTATTTTTTCCTCTAACGCAGATATTTCAAATCATAAGTCTGAACTGATAATAAATAATTATTTTTTACAAAGAATGCATACATTTGAGCTTTGAAGAACATTAAGAACAGAGAATAAATTTCAATTGTCTGAAAGTAACTTTAGCATACGATGTTGGTGAAAACTCGTTTTCATAAATAAATCAGAAATTTGCAAACTCAGTGGCGTCTCTACCGATAAAAATAATCGCGGGCGTATGATAAGAAAAGATTTAGAAAAAAAGCAAAAACGAAATCACTAATGTATTCGTAGCTACTATTTGATATTTTAGGTAACTATGCTGAGGATGTTGCCTTATCCAATTTTGATAATGTGTATACACAATTAATCAAAGGTTATGACAGAAGAAAGTAAACACATATTGCTTGGTGCCATTTTAAAAGATGGAAATTATTATTTCGTTGTTTCAGTCTGGAATCCGAGTAATTAAAGTTTTTAAGGAGGTATCATTCGAATTTATACCACCCTATGCGGGTTTTATTAAATACGAGATTTTTAAACTAAGAAAACAAAATGTTCGGCCTTTCAAGAGAGCCTCGAAGTGACGTACACAGTGCGAAAATATGTCGAATTGATATATTTTCGTTAGTTTCTCTCTTTCTTCAGATTGCGTTATGCTTTGAATAATCATTGTAATAATGATATTAAACCTTGTCAAAACCTATCAGACAATTTCCAATTTATTACAAACATCCTTTCCAGCAGAATCAAAGTAAGTTAAAACTAAACAATTAATATTTATTTTTTACATTTATATGCAAAATAATGTCTTGTCTGCAACTTGGCATTTGTTGTAGTGATGTTCCGATTGTCGCAAGTCGCTGATAATCAGTTACTGTTATGTAAAACGACAATAATCGATTCACAAAAAATTGTTCCGCGACGTCGTCGAAAATGTTTAAAGTATCAAAACGAATTAATTCTGGCGGTAATTTTCTTTTAGGAACACCTTGCCGATCGCAAAAAAATTATCTCAGAGACAATTTTGAGTTGAATAGGATCAATACGTGATGTAAACAATAGTAAATAAATATATTATGTGATGTGAATGTTATTATTTGACATCCATTGGAAAATTAAATCTATTTCGTAAAATAATAACTAAGTAGGGTTAAAACTGTGTTGAAAAGTGCTAAATAAAGTTCATGTTACAAAATAAAATCAAGTTCCTTGGGAAATAATGTTTCTTCCCTATTTCTTTTTAACGCGACTTTAATCGGAAAGTTATCGATTATGTCCCATCCGATTGAACCGATGATCGATTGGGACAAATTTCATCCGATTTCCATCACTAATTTGTTGCACAACGGAAGAAAGTTGACCATATGGAATTCATAGGTATATATTTCTAAGTTAGTAACATTCATTCATGAATCTTAGATTAATTTCAAATTGTGTATAATAATTTGAAACCTTGTCCATCAGATTGCTGCCAACCCTTGCCCACATCTATAAATTATGCACAATCTTTGTGTATTTGACCGTAACGAAGAATATTTACAAAATATAACACTATAGAAAGTTATTTATACTGACTTATTTTATTCAGTATATAAATAAATTTCTGCAAACAATGACATATTCTTTATATAACGTAATATCATCTATTATACATATAAAACATAGATAAACATACAACGAGAGCAATAAATAGCCACGTCATATCCCGATACTTAAAATAATAATTATTTTCTTTCACATTGACATAATACGCATTTTAAAACATTTTTCAGAGACCTCAATGATATCGCGATACTACATTATAGCTTATTGTTACACTAAAACATTTTAGCTGTTATGTTTGTATTACCGTCATACAGATTATCTTAAAGAATATTGTCCTTGATAATATCTCATGTAAGTTATGATGAAACAAAGGGCAATTTTCATAATTATAGATAAAGACAATAGTAGTACAATTAAATGACATTACATCGCTGAGATATCCATCAAATCCCTGATTATAGCACAGAGCTATATTTGATACAAGTCTCTGGCGACCCTTCAACTAAAGACCTGAACTCGGCTTAAAATTTAGTCAAGGTACGCCCTGCTCGTTGAAACTCAAACGTTTACAGGATATGACTATTCTAAAGAATCTTATTCAGAAAAGTATTAAAAGTATGCAACTAGTACTTGTACTATTCTACTTGTACTACAGTTCTATATGTAAAAGGGTCATATCAATGTGTTATGTGTTATTTGTCAATATATGCCTCGTATTGTACAACGTATATTATGTTATGTACCTGTCCTTGGACCATGTCTGTGGCACTTGTCATGTATAGATTTAGTAAAGTTGTATACTTACAGCTTTTCCCTAAATTTCATTCAATCAATCTTTTTTATTTATTTTTTCGTTCATTCTTGAAATGGTTCAATATTTCATTTGTGCATTCATTTACAAGTACGTACTAATCGCTAGAACGGGCCTCAATCTATAGTTTTATTACGTCAAGCATGCATACTCGTATTGAATGTTAACATGGCGCGAGCCATACCTTCGTTGTTTCATAAAAAACTTGTAGAGCGCGGCTTTGTATTTTTTCATATAAATATAAATGTCTATGTTGATGCCATACTTGTTATGTTACATTTTGCAATTCGTGATTTTGTGCCATTTGTTATGCATCTATATAACGAGCAACCTTACTGTGTGTTAACAATGAACTGCGATATATACACAAATTTGCACCGTTAATTTAACCTTATATAAATTAACGCCTTAGCCGAAGTAAGTTTATTGTAAGTGGTTTACAGGGAGAGCTACAGTGAAATATTTGTTGCATTTATTCCACAATATGTAGACGTTAATATAGTTTTATACAATTATGCCAATATTTCATGCAAATTATATACTTTTTTTACATCAACAGTAAAACCGCTATCAAAATATATTTATAGATAACATAAAAAATTGTAATTCAAAGACTACAATGTAATGTATAAAACTGACCAGTATTCGAGATAATGCTGTTGTAGGGAACCCAGTCAGACGTTTTTGACAAGAGAAAAGATATTGGATTGGTAATATTTATGAGACCCTCAAATACTGAAGTTCCAGAATCTAGTATTTTGGGATAACGGAAAACATTGGAAGATACAAGTTTGTATAATAAGGTAAATGCAGTCTTAAGTCGGTAATATAATAGTGATTATATTGCAAAACTTATATTGTTATATTGTTCATACAAAAAAAATATTATATGATGATGATGATGCATATATATACTATTAGGTGGGTGTGAGTAAGAAGGTTTGGCATGGGAACATGTTATGAACTTGTAAATTTTATTACTATAACAGATCTGTGACAAAACTCATGAAAACCTTTTTTTGCTTATGAGATTATATGAGATTATAGTTTATATCTAAATGCTTTGTTGTGACATTCGACATAGGAATGAAATTACAGTCGCGGATTTAAATTATTAACAGAAATAAAAAGCAGAAACCTCTTTCAAAAATATTCTGTTGCTAAATTTAGGTGAAAATGTAGCTTTTGATAGGATGTTTTTAAAATAAAAATGTATGTCTAATTTTCCACCACATTAAGATATTTTAGGACGTAATAAAATCCTTTCAAACTGTTCGGAATTTCCAAGCAATGTAATGATTGAGGTTTTTTGAGGTTTTAGATGATGTTATTTACGATG